TATATATATGTTTACAGAGTATATATATAACTGAGTCACTTTGCTGTACACCTGAAACTAACACAACATTGTCAATCAACTATACTCCAAAATAAAATAAAAATTACAAAAAAAGAAACCTAGATCAAATCCACCCAATAATCCATGGACTTCATGGTTATAAAAAGCAATATATTCCCTACTGCTTTTTTTTTAAGTTGTTGCTGTGTTTTGTTTGAATTAGTTAAGTTTGTTTCTTTCACTTGCATTAATAAAGTTTTGAGTAGTGCAAAAAATAAAATAAAAAATAAATAAGGTGAAAAAAAAAAAGAACCTTCTCTTGTGCATCACTGGCTTTCTCTAGGACATGAATGGTGTGTGGACGGCTCACAAAAGTCTCTAGACAAGAGGGTGGTGGTGAAAGTGCCTGCTGAGCCCTGGCTTGGGCTGAGACGTCATCCCATAAAACCCTTGAACTCAGCTGCCTTATTGCCATGAGTTCACCTTATCAGAGCCCCTGCGCCTAGGAAACAAAGGCAGCATCTCTTGAGAAATCTCTGTCTCAGTTCTTACTGATAGTTCCATGCTCGCCTCCTGCCACCTGGACATCCTGTTCTTCCCAGTAAGTCCTTCCTGGGAATCTGACAACACAGCTGAAGAACTTCAGGGTCACCAGAGGATAGGAGGGAGTGTGGGTGGGGGAAGAGAAGCTGACTGTGGCACCAGAAAAAGGGACAACCTCATGAGTGAGGCCACACATCCTTTTCTTGGAATCTAACTAATTATCATCTATTGTAAGGAAACAATAACCGTCCTCATTTTGCTGGAGAAATGATGACCCGCATCTCGTTTTGGAAAGCCCCTAGAATAGATGCTGGGACGAGGACTCAAGGGCCAATTGTTTGGGAGGTTCAGGAGACTTCAGGAAGGGAGTGGGGAAAGGATACAGGGAGGAAGAGGCAGCCAATGAGGGTGTGTGACCTGCCAGCGACCACAGTGGAGGCTGGAGCTTAGTCCTGCAGGGGTTGATGATCTCTTTTACTAAATATACCGTGCATTTTATATATTTCAATAGGTTGAAATGGATTATGATATATTTCCCTGCGGGGAAGTTATCTGAAATCACCCCTAAAAATAATTCCACGGAGGGGCAAGGGAGCTGGGGTCTTTATACATTCGTCCAGCCTGCTGTGTGTGCAGGCAGACAGGCTTTGACAGTCCCAAGGAAAGCTCCTGGCAGACGGTAACACTGGGAATTGGTCTGGAAGGGTGTAAGGGAAATGCATACAGCAGCGACAGTCTGCTGTGACTTAAGTGTGAAGTAATTTGACATATGGAGGTCTAACGGATTGGAACCAACATTAGAGTGTTTGTTTGTTTTTTAACATTTTCCTCCTGCTTCTAGGATTCCAATTTTCTCTTCGTGTATGAGCACAGTCATTTGTTCATATGCACTCTTGAAAATTAATTGTAAAACAGAGAAGATAATGGGTCCAGGAAAACATTACATGAGATGGGGAACAGTCTAAAACACGTCAAAAACAGAAACAGACTCACAGACATAGAAAAAACAAACTTATGGTTACCAAAGGGGAAAACAGGACAGAGGGATAAATTAGGGGTTTGGGATTAACAGAGACACACTACTATATATAAAATAGAGAACTAACAAAAACCTACCGTATAGCACAGGGAACTATATGCGATATCTTGTAATAACCTATAAGGGAAAAGAATCTAAAAAAGAATATTTA